AGAGAGAGAGAGAGAGAGAGAGAGAGAGAGAGAGAGAGAGAGAGAGAGAGAGAGAGAGAGAGAGAGAGAGTGCCGCGGCATACTGCCCTTTCCTGCGGAGGATATGCGCCAAAACAAAACGGTGGGGTGAGACTGTTTTGTTTGTTTTCTTTTAGAGGTTTTTACACAGAGAGAGAGAGAGAGAGAGAGAGAGAAGAACGACGGCGAGAAGAGTTTCCATAGCGAATACTATACCTCGCCTCAAGCCGAGGTATCTGCGGGCGCCTCTCGGTCTATTTTGTTCACAGAGAGACAGAGAGGCACAGAGAGAGAGAGGCACAGACAGAGAGAGAGAGAGAGAGAGAGAGAGAGAGAGAGAGAGAGAGAGAGAGAGAGAGAGAGAGAGAGAGAGAGAGAGAGAGGTGGTTCTTTTTCTTTTGTCGACGTTGAGCGTAGTAGTGCTGCTGATGGATTGGCATCGGGCAAGAGGATAAAAATGGGACGACGCGATCAGGAGAGATCGATACGGCAGAATAGGCGAAGACCACCAGATGGGATTCAGAGATGATGTGGAGGAGGTTGGATTAGATGGGGGATGGCGATAATCGCTGAGGAACGGGACCGAGAAGCATTGGAAATGGAAGGTAGGGGATGGGACAGGAGGATAGGGGATGGAGTCATGACCGCGCAATGGGGACACACAGAGAGAGAGAGAGAGAGAGAGAGAGAGAGAGAGAGAGAGAGAGAGAGAGAGAGAGAGAGAGAGAGAGAGAGAGAGAGAGCATCCCGATGGAACTGCGTCGACCCCTTCCCTACCCTAACGAACAAGTAATATAATTCGTTTTTCCTTTTAAAAAAAATAGAAATGGTATGATTGTAATCCACTATGCCCTGTAAAGTAAATTACACAGATTAATAATAAGTATTGTGTATTACTGATGCAGATAAAAATCCGATAAAATGAAATAGCTAAAAGATATAGAGTTCAAAAATATATGCTGCATAAACAGAAAGATGTGTGCAGATTTTATTTTATTTTATCTTTATCTGGACGTATCGTGAATTCGATGAAATATGTTATTGTATATTTATCGAATTCGCAATTTGTCCAGATATATATATAATGAAGTATAATATATAATGAAGTATAAAGTCTGTATATGTATATATGTCTCTGTGTATATGTATATATGTATATATGTCTCTGTTTAGCGGTATGTGTTGTGGGGAGAGATGAACTGGCGGGAGGTCATCCCATGCAGTGGGCGTAGATGCATGCGATCGACAGGTAGGGATGGGAATTAACCGATGAACGTGATGGATGGGCTGAAAAGCGGGAATGGGAAAGTTCTTCATCCTTTGGATTCTCTCTCTCTCTCTCTCCCCCCCTCTCTCTCTCTCTCTCTCCCTCTCCCTTCCTTCCTCTCTCTTGCTCTCTCTCTCTCTC